AGGATATAAAAGTGGCTGACGAACCGCGTGGGTCCTCCATCCCAGCACGGGAAGTCCTCCATCCCAGCAAGGGAAGTCCATCCCTTCTCTCTCTAAAAAAGGTAAGTTTGCCTTGTCTTCCGGGCTTCTCTTGCAGGGACGTGCTATCTCTTCCCCAGGTGCTGCTGTGGGAGGGGTCTCCTGTCCCCTCATGTTTGTTCCCCTGGGACACGCCCACTATGGAACTGGGAGACTCCCCCCTTCCTGCAGCCATATGGCTGAGGGCAAGCAGAACTTGGGGGCATCTGAACCCCAAGCCTCCACACTTGGACCTGCCCATAGGATGTCTACTAAAGGATTTGGAAGTATCTGAAGCCCCAGGCTGAAAAGTTTGGGGTGGAGGATACTTGCCAGTAGTAGGGCCATTCATGGTTCTTGAACGACTGAAAGGATTTGGAACTGATCTGGCTGATTTGGCTAATTTGACCTGGGACATGAAAAATTTTCCTTAAAAATAACCACCCCTCAAAAAACCTGTCCAGTAATAAATACCATGGCCAGGGTAATGCAATTAAAATGGCACTGTGAAGTGGAGGGTGCACCCTTGTCTGCATGCGGACAGGACTCCCTATGAGCGCCTCATAGTTACTTTCTCACTGGCCAGCTTCCAGTGTGAGGGTCTTGGTTCCACGCCAATTTTATGGAAATGGGAGATTCTTCCCTAGCTTGCTGCTGTGGCCATATGGCTGAGGGAAAGCAAAACTTGGGGGCATCTGAACCCCAAGCCTGCAACCTTGAGCCTGCCCATAGGATGCCTGCCAAAGGACTGGGAAGGATCTCAAGCCCCAGGTTAAAAAGTCTGGGGTGGAGCATACTTACTGGTAGTACAGCCACATATGGTTCTTGAATGACTCAAAGAATTTGGAACTGATCTGGCTAATTTGACCTTGGGCAGGAAAAGTTTTCCTTAAAAAGTAGGTTTGCCTAACATGGGTCATATACTTGATAGTCATGCTCAGTTTAATCAGCTTCATAGCTTGTTTCATTCACATGGTGCTTTCAGCAGCTATTTAATAATCGACAACATATTTAATGGAATTTCTGTTTGTGAATATAAAATGAGGAGATTTTTCCCCATGCTGATTGGGGGCAGGGGTGGGGGAATCTTGCCTTGTATTTGACTAAGTACAGTAAACAGAGGATTTCTCTACAAAGATTACTCATGAGGATGGATCCAAACAAAGAATAAAACAGCTGTGAGGGGGGTCTAGGTTCAAGCCCTACGTCTCCATATTCAATTAGAAAACTTCCTTTCAATATCGTGGTTTTATATCATGTTTTTACTGAAACCTAAAAACCTACAATATTTATTTTGGAGAAGTCTCAGAAACTACCCATATTAACAAATGTTTTTATTCCCAGATCACTTACCTGATGAGGCACGAGCCCAAGAGAGGTAGGTGGTTCATTCATTCTGTCATCACTGCTGCTAGCAACAGCATAACCACTGCCAAAAAAAGAGAGAGGGTGGTAGCAGGGAATCAAGGTAAAAAAAGACTAGAATTAGTCAAAAAAAATTCTATTGAAGTGTTTTTGCTGGAAAACAACAATTTTTCACAATAGTGTGTTTTTGTCAAAACAGAACATTTTAAATTCAAACCATAAACCTTGATAATCCTCCCCTTCCACCCCTTCCTCTATTTTTGGTCAAAAAGTACTTTTTCAATTAGCAGTAACTAAGAAATTTTCTTCCATAAGCAGCTTCCTTCATCTTGGAAGGGGACCTATTTGGAAATCCCTTTCACAGTCTTTAGATTCAAGCACAGGTTTGTGTGAATTCCAGAATCAGGGCTTCAGATTTTTAATTTACTCATACCTAAATCATAACTCCATTTTCTTCTTTCTTTCCAAAGATTTTAAGGTCAGGAGGGACTATTATGTTCAGCTAGTCTGATTACTTGCATAACAGAGGCCGTGGAATTTCATTAAGTTCAATACAGATAGCACTATACAAACATTTTATTGAAGCTAAAATACTGTCACAATTCTTGGGCTAGGTTCCCTGATGGAACAGAAATTTTATAGGAGGTCTTCATTTCAGTGTGGTATTTGTCTGGATGCAGGACTCCAACTTAACAAAAAAAGTTTTCCAGTTGAAATGCTGCATTTTCAGTACTTTTTCAGCTTAGAGGTACACCGATACGTTGGTCCACATCGTATCAGCACTGATAAAAGGAAAAAAATGATCATTAAATGGGTTTTTTTTTTTTTTTTTTTTTTTTTTTTAAATACTTATGGGGCCAATAACATCACTGATAAATGACACATGCCTGTGCACAGCTACAGCATGCATGCAGCCATGAGTGCAGCCTGGCAGCATGGAGAGCAGCATCCAGCTGGTAAGTCTGTGGGGGGGAGGGGCATGGGGACGGGAAGGGATGTGGAGGGAGTGAATCAAGGCCCCTGCGGTGCGGGAGGGAGTGGGGCGGGGGCAGGGGCTGCACAACCAGGCCAGGGCAGAATGTGGGATGAGCTGGGCTTGTCCAGGGGGCAGGGTGTGGGGAGCAGCTCCCAATGCTGCACACAGCCCTGGAGGAGGCATGGGGGCACGTGTCCCCCAGATCTGTGCATGGGGCAAAGGAGACTGCACAGTCTGGGAGAGAGCACAGGGGAGACTTCACAGTGGCAGAGGAGTTGGTGTGGCTGTGACTGAAGATCCTGAGGAAAGGAAGGAAGGAAGGAAGGACAACTTTATTTCACAAAGATCAGGTACAGAAAGCAAAAAACCATCAACCACACCAAAGAGAAACCATTCCAGGACATTCAGAACATCACCCCGTGACAAACACCTTCGCAGTAATACACATCATGTCTAACATGCTATATATAGCCCTCGAGAAACGAACAATTCCACCCTTCCCTGTCCCCTGGTACACGTACAAAAACCTTCAACTTCTCACCCCGAGAAAATAAACAAAAGCAGCCTGGTGAGGGCCCAGGGCACGGCACAAGCCGGAAGCCACAGTCCGCCACGGACGGACGGACGGACGGACGGAAGAAGAACAGCAGATTAAGGACCCTAGACTTTAAAAAAGCAGACTTCAATTCACTCAGGGAACTGATAGACTGGCCCTGGGAGACCAGTCTGAGAGGGAAGAGAGCCCAGAAGAGCTGGTTGTATTTTAAAGAAATCTTACTGAGGGTGCAGGAACAAACCATTCTGATGTGCAGGAAGACTAGCAAGTAGGGTAGAAGACCACTTGACTTAGCAGGAAGCTCTTCGGTGAGCCGAAACACAAAAAGGAAGCTTAGAAGAGGTGGAAACTTGGACAAACAACTAAGGAGGAGTATAGGAGTACTAGTCAGGCATGCAAGGATGAAATCAGGAAGGTCAAAGCATAACTGGAGTTGCAGCTAGCAAGGGATGTGAAGGGTAACAATAGGGGTTTCTACAAGTAAGCCAGCAATGAAGATCAGGGAAAGTGTGGGTCCTTAACTGAATGGGGGAGGCAACAGTGGCAAAAGAACAGGTTAGAGACTATTTAGAAAAGCTGGATGCAAAGCCCCCAAGGGTCCTAAGGGAGTTGGCTGATGCGATTGCAGAGCTGTTAGCCTTTATCTCTGAAAACTCATGGTGATCAGGAGAAGTCCCGAATGATTGGAAAAGGGCAAATATAGCGACCATCTTTAAGAAAGGGAAGAAGGAGGATCTGGGGAACTACAGAAAAGTCATCCTCACTTCAATTTCTGGAAAAATCATAGAGCAGGTGCTCAAGGAATCCATTTCTAAACACTTGGAGAAGAAGGTGATTAGCAAAAGTCAGCATGGATTTACCAAGGGCAACTCCTGCCTGACCAACCTGATTGCCTTCTATGACACGATGACTGGCTCTGCAGATGCAGGGAGAGCATTGGATGTGATATACCTTGATTTTAGCAAGGTTTTTGATACAGTCTCCCACAACATTCTTGCAAGCAAGCTAAGGAAATACAGGCTGGATGAATGGACTGTAAGATGAACAGAAAACTGGCTGGATTGCCAGGCTCAAAGGGTAGTAAATCAATGGCTCAATGTCTCGCTGGAAATCGGTAACAAGTAGAATGCCCCAGGGATCAATCCTGGGACCAGTTTTGTTCAGTATCTTCATCAACAACCTGGAAGATGGCATAGAGTGCACCCTCAGCAAGTTTGCAGATGATACCAAGCTGGGGGGGAGTAGTAGAAAGGCTAAAGAGTAGTACTAGGATTCAGAGAGACCTAGACAAATTGGAGCATTGGACCAAAAATCTCATGAGGTTCAACAACAAGTGCAAAGTCCTTCACTTGGGACAGAATAATCCCATGCACAGGTGCAGCCTGGGGACCAAATGGCTAAGCAGCCAACAGTGTGCCCTTGCTGCCAAGAATGCTAATAGCATACAGGGGCGGATGTAGACGAAACTGGAGCCCTAAACTGAAGCAGTGGGTTTTAAAAAACACCACTTCAATTTAGGGCTGATTAAACCCCTATGTCATGCACACACCCCGCTGACTTACAGTGGAGTTGCATCTTACGTGGGAGTTAGGTTCTAAAGTCAGAGCGTAAGGCAAAAATCGCATATAGTCAAAATTACCGTGCCAGCGGTGACTGCCTCTGCCTCCAAAACCTCCCGCTGCTGCCGCGGAGTCTTTCTTAGAGCTGTGCGGCCGGCAGCAGCGATGCAGCACAGGGTGGTGGGGGGGATGGCTGCATGCCGCCCGGGCACCACCACC